GTGAGCCGATGCATTGTTCCCGGAAACGGATATAAATCTCAATATGGTAAACGATGACAAATTGTTTGTTTTATTACTACGAGTCTCCTGATTGCTGATTATTACGGGTGTAGGGGAATAAATAGTCCCCTGTCATGGATAAGGTTACCTTAATGATATACCACGGGACATTTCTTCACGTAATCCAAAACTCCACCGAATAGGAAAAGGATGTTTCAACCGCAAACACCTACAGATCGTTTTGCTTATTTACAGTTACCTATCGAAATCGAAGGAACTAGTTAATTGGGCGTATTTCTTGGTTTCACTGTGCCAAAATTGAAACATTTTGGGCTAGATCTTCCCATTGGTTTCATAAAAATACGTCAAAAACTGTATATTTCTCATTCTATACTGTTTGGCTGCGTATATTTCACAAAAACTACAAATAATCTCTAATAAGATGAATTAAGTTGTCATTTGTCGTTTACTAAAGGTCTTTTCAAAAATTGAATAAGGTGCTCATATAAATAATAAACAGTGCATCACTTTTAGTTTCACTCTTCTAAGGATTAGGTATGATTCAAAACGACGAATGAAGTCACGCATAATGACTTTCAAGGCTGCTAAAATATCCCACAGCTGAACTTATCCACATTATTCGGTTTTTTGCAACCTACGATTATCCTATCGCAATATCAACTGTTTGTCGCTCATCGGGGAAAAGAGTTAAACCAAACTAATTAATGTACATAACGATTGTCGCGCGCTTTGTACAACCCGCCCTTCTTTACTATGTCCTTTTTCAAAAGTATAAAACAATAAACAAGTTCTTCAAACTGTGCTATAGCTGGGATTCGTTTTTACTAAACTTGATGTTTCATCTCTCTGAATAATTTGCTGTTCTCAGTTATGTATCTTGTGAAAAAAGCACGCCATCATCAACTTGAGTTGTTTGTAACGTTCGTAGGAACGCAATTAGAAATAACAGTCCATCTTTAAACACTGTTTTAAAATAAATATCTTTATACTTTGAATTAAAGAACTTTCTCTCTGACCTCCTCGAGCCGATTACTGTCAATTAGTTTGCACACAATTTCGTCCTCTTTTGTAAGTTGTATCCAGTAACGGGATCTCCTTTAATGTGTGCATGATTTTTTTTAAATCTCAGTTGTTTGTGTACTAGTTACAAAATGAGTACACTACTCTCTTATACACGATTAGACCACGAAATCAAACTCGTACTAAATCTGATCTACTCTACCTGATTTACTGAAACCGAACGAAACGAAGTTTAGAGAATTTCGTGGATATAACCAACAGGGGTATACAAAAATCCGCAGAAATAATCTAAGTACATTCGGATGCGAGAGGATTAGAGCGAACAGAGTGGATTTGCCAGTCGGTGGATTCAAATCAATATGAGCAAAATGTCGCCCATTTTTGCCGTTTTTTTCGACTATTCGGGAAGCAATCTCGAATCACTTAACCGAACATGTCAATCCTGTGAAGTATTTGAGAACCGAGGAGGGCATTTGGTTTTCCACGTAGATATCATTGCTGAGTAATTTTATTCCTACTTCAATGGAAATGAATGCAGACGAACGGAGAAACTTGTAGAATAGCGGTCCTGTAACTGTAGCTAAGTAGTGTTATCGGTGAGCAAAATTTCATAGCACACCAATATATTTACGTTTGGCATTCGGATTTTCCATTCACTTAGTACATGGCTGTTTCGACAGACAGGTGACAGATGTTTCTGGTCTCTGGTGTTTAGCAATGTCGATGTTGTCGAACTTTAAAATATGAAGATATCAATGTCACGAAAAGAATGGAAAGAAGAGAGTCAGTAATAAATACAAAAGAAAAGTAAAAACATGCTTTTAGCTGCATTTAATGTTCACTTGTTCATTTAATTGAAGAACGTCTTCCGAAATAGTCAAAACGTTTCCAAACAAAATTTTTTTGATTTTTCTCGTGTTGTGGCTAATCCAAAAATTCCTCTACGGATCTAACATGAAGAAGCAGATTAATCGGATCACGTTTGCACTCAATTGCATAATAGCTTTATAGGAGTCACGAAGTGCATGAAACAGTTATCAGATTTTATTGAAATTACAGTTCTGAGATTCTTGTATCAATGAATTACTGGAGAGCTTGAAAGAAAGCACGAACATCAGATTGGACGCAAAGGACAAAAGCAAGCAAACCACAAAGCATGCATGACTCTTTCAGCGGACAGAAAGCATCAACACATTTCCAGTATGTTCACCCTTAAATAGCATTCCTGTCACCATCTGATTGTCATCACTCATAACTCACCAAATCAGTCTCTCTCATAAACTATACAGTTGAGAAAAGGCATGTTTTCGTGGCAAAAACTTTCCGTGCAGCAGACACAATGCAACCCGAATGATTAGGTTGTGTTGTTGTTTCGAGCGATGTGGTCATTTGGACAATCCAGTAAATTTGAGTGCACATTTTCGATGGTATATGTCAAAACGATTCGTAATAACTCTGCCATCAACCCCCACAAATATTCCACCTACTAAAAAAGTAAGTCAAAAATAAAAGCGATCATAGTTTACAATAGTGTTTCCCCATGGCGGAAATAATATTCAGAGAGATTGCAACGTGTGCTCACTTTGTAGAACTCTGCAAGTGGAAACATTGCTTCTTTTGTTTCCACACTGAAGGTACGAGGTAACTTTACAAAGATGACTACAAACGTTCTTGTAGTTTTGTATTTGCAATACAATGTTTTTCACACTAAAAGTCTACCTGATCTCAAGCTGTATGTATGCAGCTGTAGCGGTTAAACATTCCAAAGTTAACGTTCAATATTTTATATCTTTGTAAATCCTTTGGGTTTCATAATGTGAAACACAATACACACAACACACTCGCTTTAACAGTACATGATTTATTCCGACTGAAAGCTGCTGTGTAGTCTTTATTCTCCCTTTCATTTGTAAGATAGAGATGGATTGATTTGAACCTTCTAAAAAACTTTGTCTTTTCCCGGGATATACGCGACAGACAATCATCTATATATATATTGTTCTATAAATTCTGATTCAATGGTTCAATGAACTAATCGACTCTAATCAAGAATCTCCTTGAAGCTTCTCTGAAAAGGTCATTCATATCACCAGACACGAGTGACCAGTTTGCATTTCTGCCCCAAGCAAATTTCGATAATAATGAATAATGATTATAAACCTGCAGCGAATTGGACTACAACTATCACGGAGGATGCTATAATTCCCTTTTATGAACGTATTTGTTATAGAAAGCTGAAGACACGTAGACTAAAAAACTGTGGATCACCTCACATATATACTGATCGTACTGGGTCTCACATGCAGTGTGAATCTGATAACTCACTCGGCAATGAAACCAAAGACATCAAAGTTAGAACTCAAATATCTTATTATGGTACTGCTTGGGAAACTGACCAAAACAAAAAATCAGGTCTAGAATATTCACAATCTAGTAAAACACCTTAGGAATAATATGGGTAAATTCAGTAGCACTGAAATAAATTACAAAGATTTATCTTGTTGCAACGTACACCAACAAATTGAAATAATCTGTTCAGTCACTGAGTGATTTGGTGGGTAGTCTGCTTGCGTTTCACCTCCAAGAACTTGCACATCCGGCTCCTATAATTTCATTCCATGTTTCGTTCACTCTGTCTATGATGGAATTCACCTGTCTCTCGGCGAGTAAACCTTTTCTGCCATCCGTTTTCTCCATTTTTTGTAACCTGCTTCTTTTGCGATAGAATATAAAATTATGAGGTGTATTTCTAGGAAGAAAACTAACCGTTTTAAGTCACTCACACAACTTATGTGACGTTCGACATTTTTCTGTGACTCAAACCAATGTTTTTTGCACAAGAAAATAAAACTCTTCAAACAAGAGTTTAGTAGACTGATCGAATTAAACCCCGCGTTTCTTGTCTCAACAGAAAGAAGAGATGAAATAAATTACTGAAAAATATAACAGTGCATCTTCTTCAAAATGGGCTGATAGAAATGCACCATGAATCACAACGCACAAAACGTTGTATACGGGAATATTGTGCTGCAAATGACCAGCTGCATTAGGATCGTGAAGAAAACCTGTTAAATGAAACGCTCTGCACAACCATGGACGTACTTTCTTTTTATTTGTTCGATGACAACGCTTGGCAGTGACTGATTTAATGAAACGATTCAATCATTCGATTTCAAGAATCGAATATACAGAGCATAATTAATCTTTCAGGTACATAAATGATCGATTTTCATTTCAAAACATGTTCCTGTTTCAATTGTATTCAAAATTATTTGAATGATAACTAATTTGGTGTTTTAAATAAGGCGCTCTTTCAGTTTCTAGTTCAACATCAAATTTTCAGGAGAATGTTCCTAATTCTTTTCTGCGCTTCAATACTAACAGCATGGGAGCCTTTGCAATAAATTTAGAGGCATGCATGTTTCAATGTTAAAAGAGATCTCTATCTCTATCTCAATACACTGCTTTCACAGTCCGTTCTCACAATACATCGGGCCCTAAAGTAAACTTTCGTTTCTCAGGTCCAATATTCGGGTTTCCACGACAGAGACACCGTTGTCCAACCTGATTTTGGTAAACTCACCACGACACTGACCAATCCGCATACTGGCCAGGCAGTGGGACGGAGTCATTAATCGTCTGTTCATTGGGAGTCAGTCTAGACGCGCACCAGCAGTGGCACGACCGCACGCTCATATACGTGTGCGTACGACGCATAAAAATTGGCCGTCAAACACACACTGGCATTTAGGGCACGCGAAGACAGGCACGTCTGCTACCGACCCCAGATAGTACCTCCTGTATGGGCTTAACCAGCAGTATACACAATATTTCGAAGTTATTGCACAAATTCGCCTATATGTAACGCGTAATTAATACACATGTCATCGACAACCTTATCTGACTATAATCACATAAAATCAGATCCCATGCTTCAGCGATAAAAATTACAAACCGGCATGATGAATGATAAGTCTTCTTATCTCATCTCAGACGCTGCAACGTACCATGCATCTTATGCTACATCCGTTCAGACCACCGGAAGTCTGGCTGACGTTTGTTCTCACGAACCACAGCTCACATCGAGTGGCTATTTGGAGGCGATGATCAACTACGTGAAGCTGTGCCTGACCGAACCCACTCGGGGAATCATGCTCGAGGTGCTGGAAAGCGAGTTGTCCCGTTTGCACTCGCACAATCTATTGGCTCTACACGAGCTGATCTTGCTGATCACAGTCTACACCGGGATGATCCTGTTTGGCTCTTGCGGTTCGCTGCTTGTGATCTACATTGTAATTCGACAGCCCCGAATGCGTACCCCACGGAACCTATTCATTGTGAACTTGGCCACGAGTGATTTGATTTTATGCTTGTTTACGCAGCCATTCAACTTACTACGGACGTTGTATTGGCATTACGACTGGACACTTGGACGGATTATGTGCAAAGCAGTAGCTATGGCTCAGGCCGCAAATATTTTTGTATCTACGATCAGTATTATCGCTATCGCGCTGGATCGGTTACAGGTATGTTTACAGTTTGCAATCTGGGCATTATGCGTGGCCCACGTTTAATGCCTTCATTTGAAAGATTCGCATCAACAAATGCCTTTCATGTAGACAACAAAAAATAACTCAGTGGCCGATTCATTTTTATTCATCCATAACAAACACATAGATGCTACTTCGAAATAATCTTCGTGACACAGGAAGACATGAATTAGCAGTTTTCGAGGGTCACGATCGAGAACAACTCAAATTAGATTTGGTATTCATTTTTAGTTCAGGAATCAATTCGCTGGTTCCTGCTGTTGGTTAGATATTTTTCACTAAGGGACTCACTCAGTTTGGGTCAAAAAGTTCACTGACTTGCCGAATAGGTTCGACGTATCCCGGGAGCAGAGGGTGAGGAAATAATGCGCTTTCTGCGTCACCGATTTACGTAAAGTATCGAGAGTGTAACGAATCTATAAAAGCACGTGATCGAATTAAGAGATCATCTGAATGACAAAATGAATTTCAGTCTAGCTACAAAAGCTAAATCTAAGTATGGCCTCCAGATTGCTGTGCTTATGGAACTAGCAAGTATGGTCTTGTGAGGCCGTGAACCTGATTCAAGTTCAAGAGCATGTTAGATCAAGACCATCACATCAGTGATATCTTTAACGTAAAGCACAACAATTTTGCATACCGAGTTGAAATTTTAAAATGGCAATTTTATCGTTATGGTGCATACGTGGAATAATTCACGCAGCAAAACATCGCGAACGCAATCCAGATTTGGAAATTTCTCTTGACACGAATTTTGGATGCGCCCTAAGGTCTGTCAGTTTAGCACGTTCCTGAAACATCTGTTAAGTTGGGAAGAAATCGAGGCACCTAGGCGAAAGATTTCATATTTACCGCCGATCAGGGTGGTGCGGGTCACAGTTCTGCGAAACTCCCTGGGCTCCGAATCACGAACACACGTCAATCACTCTTCTTGACCACACGGGCAGCAAGCACTCAGGTGATCGGATGTAATGTTCCAGCAAAGCACTTGTTTCATGTTAACCGTCATCTTAACCACTGTTGCATGTGGCTGTCAATCTTCAATTCTCACACTGTGAGAAGATAAGAGAAGGAAGACGAAAATTAAAAAAATGATGAAATCCAGCTCATTTTTACATCGCTAGTTGCATCCGAATTCACAGAGCCCCGATTCCAAATAAACTTACTAAGTCACTTTTGCGTTTCATTTTTCTAATGCGGAAAATGTTTGATCATGGAAGCTTTGTTCTAATTTAACTCGTCATGGTTTATTTGAATTAGCATGAGAATGGTATTATACTTTGAGGCACACCCTTTCATAACAATTGTTTTTCACTACCAAATAAATTCTCTTTAACACTTAATAATCAAATCGGTTTCGCACCGAAATCACGCATACAGCGTCCGCAACCTCTCTGGATTCCAATCGTCAAAATCACATCGTCATTCGAGGTTAACTAGTTGAGTACAAAATTTTGGTAACCTTGGTTACAGTAGCCGAGTTTTCCACAATGAAATACATCCAACAAGACAGCTAACATAAGATTCTGTGTATGTTGGAGACTCATCTGAGAATGAATGTATGGGACCGAAATTGGAAATGTAGGACAAAATGGATCATTTTCATGTTTGCCTACATAAAACGATGGTTCCCCAAAACGCTCCTGAATCACCTAATCGTCACCATCTAAATAAATTTTCCTAACAGTGGCAGGTTTTGGTGTGCAGTGATCACCAAATTATCAGCTGTCAAATGATTTTTGTGAATCTATTGATCTCAAACGAGACAGCACAAATCACCGTGCTATATGGGTTGGTTTAACTAACCAGATGTCACATATACATATACTGAACTTGTGGCATTTAGGGCGTCAATTTCTGGACTGATTCATTAGAATAAGATCAACTGCATACGTAAATATGCCGGTTTGTGGTCACTATTCAACTAATAATCAACTGTGGTCAGCAACGGAAACCAAATAAATTATTTTATTTTCAGGAATTCATTGATGCATGCCTATCATGGTTACTATATCCCTCTCTATTCAGCCTTTTGATGTAACGGGAGGGCGTGATATACCTTCAATGTTTTTGTTCGACGCACTTTTCGTGATCGGATGGGAGACGACCACACACTCACACACACACACACACACACACACAGGAAATTCATAGTTGTGTCATGAGTAAGCCTCAACCAGAAGGAAATGTTACGTTTTTGCTTTTTTCGTGGACAGATGGCTACGGGTGACTATAATTGATTGACTGATTGACTGAATGTTGACGATTGACTTGCAGGCGGTGGTCACTGGTTGTGCGTCAACTAGAATAGACTTGACTGAGTATATATTCGTCGTAATGTAAGGCAACATGAACGATGCTATCCTTATTATGTGTTGAATGGCAGCCCTTTTGTTGGCCGCTTATTGTTTCTGAAAACTATATCTTTGTAGATTCACTAAAAGGAAGTAAAATGAAAATGAAATAAATGATGTTTTCTGCTACGGCTAATCCCGTATAAAGTCATTGGAAATTGCATTGTATTACCCGATTTTCTTAAAATGTTATCCTTCATACGTCACAATTGCTGCAACAATCCGTTTATTTCCCGCGATCAAACTTTTCCATTCCATACCTGAAGTGCCTCATATGCTCGAAGACGCGTTTACCTAGAAAGAGCCCAAGCCCAGGTGAAAAGATATATGGACGACTTACTATAAACGGGCGAGGAGGTTAAACACCATTTCAGTACTGGAAAAACCTAAGTAAATAAAAGTTTTGAATTGTCCATCAATGGGAATGTAAATTTCAGAAGCAAACTGTAGTCAAGTATTTTCTGAATCAGCTGATGCACACCCTAATAACGTGCTAATTATATGGATATAATTTTACTTTAAGTCGATTATCGTTCGGCCACCAGTAAGTCAGTCTACCCAAGCCAGGATCGAAGAACGTGAATACATTACAAAATACAATTTCAAAAAGTGCCTGATTGTTCTCAAGTGAACGATATCAACGAATCACCATAAACATTTTCACAATCAACCGAAAAGATGCAGACGAAAAACAGGAACTACAAGGATTTCAGTTGCTCAAACACGATTGGCTAATATTCACATGACGGATTCCGCGCAAAGTAAAAAAGAAGAAAACCGTATCTCTAGAGAAGTGAGAACTTTGTTTGAATATAACATGTATGCTACAAAGTACACTGTTCAATCGGTTCGAAGAGGGAATTTTTGTGGGAAGTCGTCTGGTCTGTGTCTGGAATTTCAGAGCAATCTCAAAAACGTAATTCCCGTCCCTCTGAAATCCCCGTTCTCATGTGAATATAAAACAAACTTTTTGCATTCATGCACTTCTCGTCACCATCCATCGGCAAAAAAATAGCCGCAGTTAGACAGACGTGATCAGATAAGTACAGATGATATAAAATTACGTGGGAAGGAATACGAGTAATATTACACATGTTGTGAGTGACAAGCGAAATTTCTCCATTGCATGTTGGGTTACAGTCCAGACAATCAACAAATACTATAAGCCCAAATCGTAAGTCATCGGAACAGACCACGTGGATCAAATACTGTTGCGACGGAATCTTGGAATGACATTTTGACCACATCCCCTCTATTTTCTGAAACAAATGAAAAAACATGAAACCGTCTGGTCAGAAATTCGCGTTCATGCAATTCGGTTTACGCACATATATGTGCAGTCTCAGTGTGGTACACAAGTGATGGTGAAAGTTTAGATTTGAAGGAAGTATTGTTTGTTGACTGAGGATCAAATCAATAAATCAAAAGAAATGAAGCCCTGGTTTCACCGAAATCTCTCCATCTTCCGCTCGAGCTAGTTAATAATGCGAACAGAAGAAGGAGTAAATCTCCTAACCCCGAACACTTTCGCTTGGGTTTAAAAACCACTGTATGGTAAGGGACTGGGGTATACAAAGTGGACAGAACGGACTGGGTATTACCACAAGTTGACTTAATTGCATAGAAAATCGGAACACAACACAGTGAGTGGGCAATAACAGGAACAGAATCTGCTGATGCATTTTCCAGGTTGACACCCATTTTTCTAATTCAATGGCAAACTATTGTTGAATGCGAATTTACCTGCAGCATTTCTTATCTGATGACCGGAAGTAAACAGATATAATATCAGATTGCAGACAGCCAATGTCCACAATCTGTGCCCCCAACTGTATCCATACCCAGAGCAGAGTAATCAGATATAGTCCTGTGAACCCCATGAATAACCGACCTCATCAGGGCCAGAAAACCTGAAAAGAAAAATTGCCCAATAACACTGGGCGAATTCATATCTGGGTGTAATGTTTTTGGCAGGGAAAAGGATTCAGAAAACCAAGCATATTAGTATGAAACAGCAACGAAAATAAAACAGACTGTGGTGGCTGTTTGGCACAAAAACTTTTCACCCATTTCTTAAAACATTGTTTCGAATCTCGTAGAAGTCTTCAATTAAATATCCACCAGGGTATAAACTACAGGGTATGAAACACTGTTCGTTTTCTGTACCTCCCATTTGCTGAATAAGGTCACCTATCATTATTTTCTATTTTTGTATGCAAAGTCGGTTGGTTGGGAAAACCGACATAAGTTTAGTGTATTTTTCATATTAATTTAAAGTAGGTAAAATACAAGTTTTTATCGGGAAACATTCGCGGTTTTAATTTGTGATTGGTGTGATCTTGAGCGTGGTTGTTTGCAAAATCCTTAGTTCAACTGGATGGATATTTATGACATCTAAACTATAACTTGGGCTTAATGAAAATACGTTCCAGATACGTTTTAATTCGCCACTGTGAATAAGATTTACCTGCATCATCGGCAGGTCATTTGTGCCTAAAGTAAACTGGTTTATCCCGCTTACTATGATAGTACCTAGCTTCTAATTAATTATTTTTTCCGTTCCACATTGACTGCTTTTTTATCAACGAATAAGTCATCTTGGGAACAAATTAAAAATCGCGGACAAAGTTTGAAAAACTCAATTATTCCAGCATGCTAAAACTTGTTTTAGAGCAAAAAATTGAGTTATTTAAAATTCATAATAATGATCATCTATCTTCTTCGCAGAAATCTATTGCCAGTTTGTCAAAACGATCACCAAAATGTCTTGGGTACCGCCATATTGTTCAGTTTTCCTCCCGCAGATCACTCGATTGATCGCTCAAAAGCTCAAACACATACTTGCAGAGAGATGAGCCTATACCTTACGATTGACTTTCCCAGGCTGATCAAATGGTTTTTACGTGGGAATTTGTCTGAAATCAGTTCAAGCTCTATTTGAAATATAAGCAAACGCAGTCCATGCTATTGTCAGGAAAACGGAATCTAGTTCATTTTTAAAACATAAATCAAGAGCAAAACATACAAGTTTTTTTATCAATTATTTGTGAGTGATGGTGTTATTGATTTGAACTGAATCGCATTCAAACTTCGTGTGTGCGCACAGAAAGCAGATCGAAGACTCGACCATGCACTGTGAAGACATTCGGGAAGACTCGAAACTAAGTTAGATTGGATAAAGTGAGTATTGTGAGTAGTGCATAACGATGAAGGCTAAGGCTAAATACTTCAAAATGTAAAAAGTGCATATGATTTCTTTGATGCATTACGGGAATTCGTAACTAAATCTTAGTCAGCAAACTGAGAAACGAAGCTACCATTACCACGAAAACGGTCGAGTTAGCGAATGAACGTAAAAATGATCTAAACTGATACCACCTATCAAGGTGAAATTTATTTTTGTTCCTAAATGTTATTCACACTCGCTTACAGTTTTTTGGCCAAACAATACCGTATTCCTAATACTCAGGGCTCGGTGACGCAAAAAGCGTAACATGTGAATCGCTTCCGTTGGGCGGAACTTTGGTCGTTTTCAAATACTACAAATTCATATGCAGGGAATGATTTGGCAATTGTTCATGTGATGTCCAAGGATGCCAGTCAAATGGAAGAATATTAACTCTGGGATCTATCCATAATGGTCTCCTGTTGCGTGTTCTTTGAGCAATTCTTGTACCAACCACCCATTATCACCCTTCAATGCAAGTTCAGTCATTCAAACCGATCGAGTGCTTTCAGTCGAATTTCCCGGATTTTGCAATCAGTGGACGTTTGCCCTAATGTGGCACGTCTATTTTTTTGATGAAAAGATATATTAGAAGCCAGTTTTGGTTATGAAAACCGAAAATTAGCATAATAGTTTCATCAATTGATTATTTCGAGACACGCATCCCACCGCAAATGTGGGCAGGTTGACTGCCGAGATGAAAAACAAAAGCTGAGTTTTCATTGTGCCCGTCTGTTTCACCGAACGTCAGTAGCCAGAACATTAAATGAACTACGAAGAACAGATCCACGCCTCATCGAAAGTCATACTAACTCGATGTGAGTGGACAGAACCGTGGTGAATACATAGTCTCAGCTATTCAGTTGCTAAACTCGGAACGTGACTTCATTTTCTGGGATGTCTATTGATAATGAGAACGATCAAACTAAACTCCTTCCGCATCCTATTTTCTGTTGAAGCGTATTTTGGACCTCATACAACAAACGCTTGTGTTTCACAGGAATTGAAGCTCATAAATTTACAATAAGTAATTCAGTTTGACCGTCATTACACGCATGGATTGCTTAGTAATAGTACATTAGTTACGAAGAAGTAAGGCAGAATTTCGATTCAATTTCCCATTGGAGTGTGTCGTTTACAGAACAATGCATTCAAGAACTGGAATGCTAACCGGCATTGTACAGCTTTTATCCTAACCGAGTGAACGTTCCCTGGACTGCACGAATGAAATGACTCATCGCGTCAGTCTATTGACTAGCTCACTGATCGAACATGAGCATACCGCGTCTGATGATACCAGTGTTTCACTTCCCTCAAACACAATTCACCACAGTACATGTTTTCAAGCCTCATGCAACCGATTGCACGTCCTCCACTACCAGCAAGTAACCGGTATTCAGTTTCGGAGTGTTTTCCAGGTCAGAATCCGAGGTTCTATTGTTAAAGTAGGTGATGTTAGATATCCACAACAAGTGTGCAAATATGGATGTTGCCCCATGGTGTAGAGACAAAGTAGATTAGTGTACACAACTTCCCGGCTGTCACGTGGGTAGAGAAAGACCCATCTTCCTCCCCATTGCCTCGAGTTCTACAACTTCACCTTTCGAGTGATTGAACAGCAGATGAACTAAACTAGTTGAGGTAAATGAGAAAGTTACATTGTCCATTTGAACTACTTTTGATTAGTCTGCTTCTGGCTGCTATCTGCTGTGTTATTTCATTTGAATACAAAGACACTGATTGCAGCAACCTTTGTAAAGAGTGAAGTACATGTTTCATTGATCTTTGCTACTTTTAGAAAGATGAACACAAATGTCTAAGAAAACAACTTTCCTCTGTAATGAGTCTGAACCGCGAATACAGTTAGTTTATGTGACCTAATTCACCGAATCCCGTTAGGTGCATACCACCAATACGATAATGAATTTTATCACAAATAGACGAAATCATTAGCATTAAGTTTATACCTGTCATGATTTTTACCAAGACAAATCCAAGCTCGTGAATAACTCTTTTCGCTTTCATTTTTGAATCGCAGTTGCTTCAGCAAACTGCAGTACACATGGATCGATGTTGAATAAGATCAGTGAGAAGGTAGTGGTTCGGTTGAACCGATACTTTGTCCCAGGCAGATAGGGTACGCTGGAAAAGATGCCAGTGGCTGTTTGTTCGGTGAGCATTTGCCTGCTTCCCGTTGGTTGCCGAAAGTGTCCAACCTCTGTCGGATATGTCCAATCACTCTCAGTAGGAACAGCGTTCAGTTCGGCCTAGATTGTTGGCAGTGCATCAGTATTTGGCCCTAGCCGAGGGCGGGG